ACTCGAAAAAATGGCTGTGCCTTCTGGTGAATTGATCGCCGTTGAAGGTACCAAATTGAAAATATCGAGGAAGTTATACGCACATAGTGAAATGATGAAGAAGAATGCTGTTCGGTTGGTTTTGATTAGTTTAAGTGTGATCACAACGGTTGTTGTTAATGTTGGTGTTGATTTGAATAGATTATGCTGAGTGGTGAGTTCAGGTTACATATCCCTCGAGAGCTGATTGTCGGCGATAAGAAAATCAAGGAAGAGGATGACGTTTCAACTGTAGCGGGTGGTGAACCAGAAGAAGGAATGGGTATGGTGCACGGTCGAGATGATGACGATGTGGACAGTGAAGACGATCTGCAACAAATCGGCGAGTTGCAGCCGTCCACCAGTTAGTAGTGATATTCTTGCTTTGCTTTAGGATAAATTCACTAATAGTTGACGGTAGTAGGTAATAGACAAACGCAATTTGTCGATGCATTTTTAGTGTTTCCTCTGGTTTTGAATTTAAACTGGGTGTTTTGGACGATAATGTTCCGTGTCGATTCGGTCTATTCTTAATTAGAACTTTAGAAGATATCGTATTGTAGTACTATTTTTTGTGATTCGGTATCATAAGAAGATACGACGGTATTTTGCATATTGAAATTGTTGTTTATCAACGAACTGAGCAAACAGTGCTGTTTAAGGTAAATCGCGAACGTCAGTTAGTACGACGTCGAGTCGAAGACGTTCAACGCTTGATATGGACGATTATTTGTATGGACCGCAGAAGTCGATTCAGCGAAGGAGAGCTGACCCAAGAGTATGTCGTTCGATTTTAGGCATTATTTTCGGGAATTGTCGCTAAATGACGGTCGTTACAAGGATTACAGTGTCAATATTTATTGAAATCTTGTAGTGCCATGGGAACACTCATTCACTCCATACATTTCTTGACCATTTTACTCTCAAGAAATGAATTTGAATTCGAATCAAGCCAAACCAGACAATGAATAGATATCTTTGGTTGCTGATTTACGCAGTTTTGCTTTATTGGTTATCGATAACGTGACTAATACTGCATCACTTTTTATGCTTTTTATGCTTTTGTGCTTTTGTATTCCTTTTATGTATGCCCATTTAAGGTATCAATGTCAATCCAACTGAACGAAATATTCAGTGATCTACGTGCTCTTCCTGGTACCGAGCACTTAATGTTCCCTGTCAACGCCAAAAAGGTTTGCACTCTAAAGTCTTAGTTGCTCACTAATATTCCTGTTCTGCCATCAGTTCCTTTTTAAGAGTAGGGAGATGGATTTCGCAGTAGAGGATGAATCGTTCTCTGTAAAAGGAACACAAATTAATTGTTTGAAATGGATCGTGCGCTATAATGTTGTTCACTGTCTCAGTTCATTCATTTTCAAGCATTAGCTATAAAAGTGCTGTATGTAAAAAAGTTAACAGTGAG